ACGTAAAATGCTAGGTTAACCTATAAACTTGTGAGAGGAGCTAATAAACAAGGTTGAACTAAGAACGTGTTTGTACCATACCAGTTTAATCCACTACATGCATTAAGTGATGAAGAATAATTTTCTGATTTATGAAATTAATTCATGTGCCTCTGTGTGTATGAGCTGTGTGTGTGTGTGTGAGTAAATGTGTGTGTGAGTGAGTAGGCACACATGTGCGAGCATGCACCTGTTCTGCATGAATGTGGTGGTCAGAGAATGTCTTTCCACCTATCAATAGGTTCTGGAAATCAAACAAGGTCATCATACTTGGTAGCAAATGTCTTTACTCATGATTCATCTTGCAATGTCAGTAGAAAAATTTTACAACTATGCATAATTCATCCAATAGCAACAGGTATACGAATGTGTGTATAGATATATATGCACAGGTTCAAATGGTTTGTCTGTGCATATGTTACTGTGTATAATTTAGACTTTGTTATTTAAAACTACTTTATCATATAATTTTAGTTTTATTTTGTCATTAATATAAATTTAATATTCTGTGATATTAGAATTATTTTTGCATGTGAGATTCTACACCATTTTAAAAGAATTTTTGAGCCGGGCGGTGGTGGCGCATGCCTTTAATCCCAGCACTCGGGAGGCAGAGCCAGGCGGATCTCTGTGAGTTCGAGGCCAGCCTGGGCTACCAAGTGAGCTCCAGGAAAGGCGCAAAGCTACGCAGAGAAACCCTGTCTCAAAAATCCAAAAAAAAAAAAAAAAAAAAAAAAAAGAATTTTTGATTTGATTATTGTATAATTATATACTTAGTTTAACTAGCCTTAATGTAACTGATGGTGTAATTGATATAAATATGTCCAGCTTTATAATTAGTTGATGTTATTATAATACACAAGATGATATCATGAGCATTTTTATAAACATTCTAGGAAAATGGCAATATGCAACTTCTAATGTTTAAATTCATATTTATTGGCAATCACACAGAAACTTTATAATTTAATTTGAAAAGTATTTTATATTTGCCAATAAATACAGTCCAAAAACTGTTTTGTGAAATAATTCAGGAGAAGATAATTATATATTACTCTGTGGCTGTTCCAATGTTGACATTCTATAATAAAAACAAAAGTACCTATAACCTGCAATGATATTTAAGTTACTTTCAAAATAGACTAGACCTTTAAAATACTATTTCCAATATATATTATTATTGAACTACTGGTGTAAATTATATTAATTTCTACCTCACATTTATTATAAACATAAGATACATATAAATATATGCTTGCCTTTCCCTTTCAGCAGTAAGTGAGTAGAGATTTGAAAAGGATAATTATTCCTCTTAAACTTATTATGTGGCTGAGATTTCATATCAGCTCCAAAAATACATGCTGATTTCATTTTGGAAATAATAAGTGCAAGAAACTATGAAAAAGGTTTTGTTACTCAAGAGGATTGTGAAATAAATATTCAGTTCAAATTGATGTTGTTATTAGCCTGTATGCATAGGCACACAAGTTAGAGTCTTCTCATCATCTTTGAAATTATTTTTATTAAAAATAAGACATTATTGAATTGCATTAATATTAAAAATCTAATATCTTTCACAAAGTTTAATTTCCTAACATTAAAAGTATGAGGTATATGAACTTTCATCTGAATCCTTATACAGCATTATTCCAGTATATCCTCCCATCTTTACAGTGAACTCTTCCCCACATAGAGAAATTATTGTGTATTTCAGGCATGAATATCATTAAGGAATCATTTTGCTTCATTATTATTTCTGATGCTACTATGGGCATTCTACATGCTCCTATACCATTTTGCTAGCCTCTATTTAAACTTCTTGTTGCTTTTTCTTTGCCCTATAATCCTCTTTCCCTTAACCACTTCCTCATACATCAACAATGTCAGGAAGCGAGGAAGGAGTCTTGCCTCCATACCTCTACATTTGGCAAAGATCTTCCCATATCCTGCACATGGCAGATCAAGGTTACCTTTTTGCATTATAAACTATGGGAGTCCTAGACTATAGTGCTAAAGAACTCCACAGTGGTTTGTCTGTGTTTTCTACAATGGGTGCTGTATTTTACTGCCACTGGGAAAGTACTGGGAGATGGCACCTTTACAGGGCAGTTACATACTAAGTCCTAACATGTAAAGTTATTCCTTTATTTTAGGAGTATGTACATCAACCTTAGGAGTGACTTTGTGCTTCTTTTGTGCTCCCTGACTTTGTTACAATGTAGCTAGAATGCCCTTGCTGGGTGCCAGTACCTTAATGTTCAGCTTTCTAGTATCTGAAATTTTGAGAAATATATTTTTAAATAAAGTACTCAGGTTGTTGTTACAGGATCAGAACATGGATTAAGACATGATTTAATACAAACATTTTTAATATCAAAAGATTTTTAATCATAAAGTATTCTTAGCAGTCAGTGGAAAAATGCCTGTAAAAACTAATACAAGGATGATGTATATATATATTTGTATATATATATATACATATATATGACATATATATATATATATATATATATATGATCACAAAAAAAGAGTAACACAATATGAAAGATCAAGGTCATCACAAAAGGAAATATGGCCTTGGGTAATATTTTAAGACTATAGCATATAATTAATTTTAAATCTAAGGTACCATTTGTAGGTAGATAAATAATCTGTGGTCTTAACCACAAAGTTCTATATAATTAAAGTATATGATTTTTTTACCTTCTAATGCAGAAAAAAATAAATTGATAAATTTGTAAATTAAAACATGACAACATGTTATCATGTTAAAGTAAATATATTCAATCAATTGCATTGCTTTCCACTACAAGATGACTGCAAAATCATAGTATTTTCAATTTTTGTTGGCAATTACCAGCCACAGATGAGGATGCTGGCGGCTGTTAAATAGACTTGTAGGAAAAAAGCTATCACTTTTTTTGGTATTTTGAACATGTGCTTGAAGGTTAGAATTAGACCTGAATGTCTCAGTGTATTCTAATTTTCATCAATTAGCATAGTTTTGGAGAAACAGATTAGTCTGTAACTCCTCATTTGAAAAATCATGTAAAACTTTTATGTGCCACAGAAACAATCCTGCATAAGCTTTGGATTCACCAGAGTTTCAAAATGGTAGCCCAGGATCCAAGTAGAGACACCTGGCAGCAGCAGATGCTGTTTTCTCAAGAGTGGGTGTGCACATTCAGTTCCCTGTAGGACCTATCAGATCTTAGGTCATTCTCCCAGGCAGAGTCACATAGTCTTTCTGCCATGTCAGTTTCAGCAGTCATTTGCATTTGTAATGTCTGCTATAAAACAAAACAAATATGACCCAGTCAAGAAAGAAACCCATAAACTTCCATTGGAATACATGGCTTAAGTCCAGTTCATGATGGGACATTTCTTTACAAGAAATTTTAAAGAACTTACTTGGTTGGATTAAATTGTATGTGCATACAAATATATGTGTACCCATATGTATGAAGTCTAAATGAAGTTATGATAATTAAAGGTAACATTACTCCCCTTTCCAAGACCTAAGACTAAGAAAAATCTCAATACTAGACATGATAAACCTCCTTTCCAGTTTTTGGTCAGAAATATCCAAGAAATTCCCTCAAAAATATAGGTTATTGATATTTTCCATGTTTTCCTCCCAGATATTACTCCCTATTACTAAAGACACAATGTACTTTGGACACAGGACCACAAGGAATCCAGCTGGATCTAATTGGAAAGCTTCTTCCTTCAGGACTAGCATTCATAGTATATGAAAATGCTATGTAATCTGCTAAGGGAGAAAAACAACCAGTAGTCCTATCCAGCTATGATGCCCATAAGCTAATAGTGACCACCACAGCAAGAAAACCATAAAGGTACAATAGTCATAATTTGGGGGCAATCAACAGTTATCTAATTATACTTTAGGACCACTTAGCAGAAGGGATCCCATGCCTGGTACCTGAAACATAGCCAACTCTGAGCTAGTGAGGTCATAGATCTTAGAGAAGAACTTCCTACTGCCACTCAGTTAAACCAGTAAAGTTTCCAACTTCGTTCTGAATACTTGTACATACCAGTATGTACAATTCAAATAAGCTTCTCTGCAACAGATAGAGACCATTACAGAAAACAACAATTGGTCAAAATGCAAAGAACTACTAAAATACTGGTCTTTAGGCCCAGTTGATACATCTATAGCTCAATACTCACACCCAAGGCTCAGAGAACATTGTAGAAGAGAAGCAGAGAGAGCCAGAGGATCAAGAAGTCAGCTGTGAGCTATATCTCTTAGAAATGAAAGACAAGCTACTCTCATGATTTAACATGGCTATCTAAACAAAACCCAAACAAAGAAAACAATGACAAACATGTCACTGTAGAAAGGGGAAATCCCATTTGCCCTTCATTCAGATATGAGCTACAGGCAATTAATGACTAACTACTGAGAGAGGAAGAATTAATCTTCTACATTAGTAAGGCTCCTAAATGGTGATCCTATATCAAGTGGTCAACCCTGAAAACATATACATACTAGCAACACCAAATGGGAACTTCAGGTTGTACTTATGGACACATATATTTCTGTGTCTGTGCATATATATGTAATCATAGTAATTAAAAGAAAAGGCATAATAATTTAAGTTTGTCATTGCAAGTTGGAAAATTGCAATTATTCCTTGAAAAATATGTTTTCAATCAAATTTATCAGTGAAGTATACAGTAATGCTTTTTAAAAGGACACTGAGGTAAACATATGGATGAAGAAATATGATCTCAGGAATCAGCATTTCAAATTTAACTATCACTTACAAAACTAGTTGCATCTAGGTGTGCTGGTCTTTCAATCAAATGTGTATTGTTTTTCAAAAAGGTAGATTTGGAGAATATGTCTTTCCAAGTAGCTATACTATTCATTGTTGCCCAAGTCAAGAAATTATCAGTTAGCTAGAGTAGGAATACTGTTCCTAATCTCTTACCTGGGTAAAGAAGGGCTCATAAATCTCCACCCCTTTGTCAGATCCTTGCAGCAACACCTCTTGGCCCCGTCTCCAGCTGTAGCGCACAGGGGGGTTGGAGTTGGCCACACACCGGAGAAACACTGTTCTCTCATAGTAAAACTGTTCTTTAGCTTCACCTATGCTTTGATGAACAGTTACTACTGGATCATCCAAGTCTAGAAGAAATAAAAACAGGCAGGCAACAGCATTACAAGATGCACAACTTCTACAGTATTGCCAGCGCATGCCCTGGCCAATGATCTATGCTTCTACTGATGGCGGTGCTGCGAATGCTTGACTAATAACAAAGAAAATTTCAACCTAAAAACAAAAATCTAAAAATTTGATACTTTCTTCAGATTTGTTGAAACAGCACAGCAGCTCTTACATTTTCCAAACTCCTTGCCAGCAGCCACTTATAAAAGATTTCATAAAAGTGAACAAAATTTAAATTGTCAGTCCTGAAAACACATACAGTTAGTATTATGTGTACTCAATAGGTTATTTTTAGGAATACATACACATATATACATACATTAATTGTTATTGCACGCACGAATATATTCAATTAATAACAATTAATGAGAAAGGAGGCCATGAATTTGAAAGAGAATGGGGAGAGGTAGATGAGAGTCTTTGGAGGAAAGACGGGGAAGGAGGAAGTGTTGCAATTAAATTATAATCCCCAAAAAAGCTGAGAGAGAGAGAGAGAGAGAGAGAGAGAGAGAGAGAGAGAGAGAGAGAGAGAGAGAGAGAGAGACCAAAACACTGACACTGAACCCAATCAGCATAGACTCTTAGGAATGATGTAAACACTTGCTATTAATTACCATCACAGCTCACTTAACATCCTTTCAGCTGCATAACTTTGAAAGCCTATTTAACTTCCGTGATCTTCCTTTTCAGTAAAAGGGCATTATATTATAAATGCTGAGGGAGGATTAATAAATGGGATAGCTCATAAGCCATGGACATGTGTATAGAGAAGGGTTACAGATAATTCTGGTTAATCTTGTATCTAGCCACTTGACTGAAAGTGTTTATCAGCTGTAGGAGTCCCCTGGTAGAATTTTTGGAGTCACTTATGCATATTATCGTATTATTGGCTAATAGTGATACACACTTTGAGTTCTTCCTTTCCAATTTGTATCCCCTAGATCTCCTTTAGTTGTCTTACTGTTCTAGCTGGAACGTCAGGTACTTTATTGAATAGATATGGAGAGACTGGATGGCCTTGTCATGTTCCTAATTTTAGTGGGATTGCTTTGTGTTTCTCTCCAGTAACTGATGGAAGCAGATGCAGAGATTCACAGCCAATTACCAGGCCAAGCTCCAGTAGTCCAGTCAAAGAGAGAGAAGAGGGATTCTATGAGCAAGGGGCACCAAGATCATGATGGGGAAATCTACAGAGACAACCAAACCAAACTAGTGGGAACTCTTGAAATTTAGACCAATACCTGTGGAGCCTCCATGGGACTCAACTAGACCTTCTGCATAAGCAAGACAGTTGTGTAGCTTGATCTGCTTAAGTGGGCCCCTGGAAGTAGGATCAGGATTCTTCCCTGGTGATTGAGTTGGGTTTTTGGAGCCCATTACATACGGTGGGACACCTGGTACAGCCTTGATGCAGGGGGAAGGGCTTGGACCTGACTGCTGAAGGTACCAGGCTCTGCTGACTCCCCATGAGAGACCTTACTTTCTTGTAGGAGGGAATGAGGTGTGGCTTGGCAGGGAGAATGGAGGGGCAGGAGAAGGGAAGAGGGGGATCTGTGATTGATATGTAAAATGAATAAAATTTTTTCTTAATAAAATACTTTGGTGTTGGCTATAGGCTTCCTGTAAACTGCATTTATTATGTTAAGATATGTTCCTTGTATCCCTACTCATTCCACAACTTTTATCATGAAGGGGTGTTGGATTTTGTCAAAGGCTTTTTCCTCAGAAATATGGTACCAGATCTACCTCTAGATCCAGCTATACAACTCTTGGGCATATTCCTGAAAGATACTCCATCCAATCACAAGGAAACTTTCTCAACTATGTTCATAGCAACTTTATTTTTTTAAATTTTATGTTATCTAATTAACTTTTTTTTTTTACTTATTTTACATACAGACCACAGTTTCCTCTCCCTCCTCTCCTCCTATTCCCTTCCCGCAGCCCCTGAATCCTATCTACTCCATCCCCATCCATTCCTCCTCTGTTATCTTCGTTCAGAAAGGGACAGGCCTCCCATGGATTTGAACAAAGTATGGCACATCAAGTGTGTTGAACTCCTTGCTCCACATAGAGGCTGGGTGAGGTAATCTGCCACAGGGAACAGGTTCCCAAAAGCCAGCTAACGGCCAGGGACAAGTCCTTATCTCACTGCTAGGAGTATTACAAGCAGACCAAGCTACACAACTGTTAGACACAATGGAGGACCTAGGTCGGTCTCATACAGGCTCCATAACTGTTGGTTCAATCCATGAGCTCCCACTAGCTCAGGTCAGGTGTCTCTGTGGGTTCCCCTGTCATGACCTTGAACCCCCTGGCTTGTACAATCCCTCCTCCCTTTCTTCAGTGCTTATCTGTCGATCTCTACATCTACTTTCATCAGTTACTGGGTAAAGGCTCACTGATGACTATTAAGGTAGTCACCAATCTGATTATAGTAGATGGCCAGTTGTTAGGAATTTTAGCTGGGGTCATCCTTGTGGATTCCTGGGAGTCTCCCTGGTACCAGGTTTCACCCTCTCCCCAAAATACTCTCCTTCCCTGCATCAACATGTCTCTTTCCTTACTCTCCCCCTCTCTCAATCCATCTCCTGCTCCTGTGTCTAGCCTGCTCAACCCCTCCCTCAAGTTCCTATCAGTTTTTATGATCTTAGTCATTCTGACAGGTGTAATATGGTATCTCAGAGTCATTTTGATTTACATTTCCCTGATGAATAAGGTCACTGAACAATTCTTTAAGATTTTCATGTTGAGAATTCTGTTTAGATGTATACCTCATTTTTTATTAGATTATTTGGTATTTTGATGTCTAATTTCTTGAGTTCTTTATATATTTTGGAGATCAGCCCTCTGTCAGATGTGGGGTTGTTGAAGATCTTTTCCCATTCTGTAGGCTGTCATTTTGTTTTATTGACAGTGTCCTTTACTTTCAATTTCAGGAGGTCCCATATTTTGTCAATATTAGTGTCTGTGTTACTGGTGTTATATTCAGGAAGGAGCCTCCTGTGCCAATGCATTTCAAGGCTACTTTCCACTTTCTCTTCTATCAGGTTCAGTGTAACTGGATTTATGTTGAGGTCTTTGATCCACTTGGATTTGAGTTTTGTGCATGGCAATAGAAATGAATCATTTTGCATTCTTCTTACATGACAACATCCAGTTTTGCCAACACCATGTGTTGAAGATGCTTTCTTTTTTCCATTGTATAATTTTGGCTTCTGTGTCAAAAGTCAGGGGTTAATAGGTATGTGGATTTATGTCAGGGTCTTCAATTCCATTCCATTGATCCACATGTCTGTATTTATGCCAGTATTTATACTGTTTTTATTACTATAGCTCTGTAGTAGAGTTTGAAGTTAGGGATACCTCCAGAAGTTCCTTTGTTGTACAGGATTATTTTAGCTATCCTGGGTTTTTTTTTCATATGAAGTTGAGTACTGTTCTTGTGTTGTCTGTGAAGAATTGTGTTGGGATTTTGATGAGGATTGCAATGAATCTTTAGATTGGTTTGGTAAGATTGGCATTTACTATGTTAATCCTACCTATCCATAAGCATGGGAGATCTTTCCATTTTCTGATATCTTTTTCAATTTCTGTCTTCAAAGACTAAAGTACTTGTCATACAAGTCTTTCACTTGTTTGGTTAGAGTTAGCTCAAGATATTTTATATTATTTGTTGCTGTTGTAAATTACATTGTTTCTCTGAATTCTTTCTGAGCCCATTTATCATTTGTATATAGGAGGCTACTGATTTTTTTTGAGTTAATCTTGTATACCATCACATTACTGAAAGTGTTTATCAGCTGTAGCAGCTCCCTGGTAGAATTTTGGGAGTCATTTATGTATACAAATATATCATAGAAGCTTTATTTCTAATAGGTAGAAACTGGAAACAACCTGGATGTCCTACAACAGAAGAATGGATAAAGAAAATGTGGTACATTTACACAATAAAGTGTCATGAAATTTGCAGGCAAATGGTTAGAACTAGAAAAACTCATCCTGAGTGAGGTAACCCAGAACCAGAAAGACAAACATGGTATGTATTCACTTATAATTGGATATTAGCTGTTAAATAAAGGATAATCATGCTACAATCACCAGACCTGGAGAAGCTAAATAAGAAGAAGGGCTCAAGGTTGGATGCATGAGTTTCCCTGGGAAAAGGAGACAGATTTTGCAAGTGAACTGGTAGGGTGGGTAGGGATGACAATAGCAGGGATCAGGTGGGGGTTGGGTGCAGAGTACTGGGAGAGATGACTTGAATTGGAGGGTATTTGGGGGGTGATATGGAAACCTAGCGCAGTGGAAACTCCCTGGACTCTATTCGAAGACTAGCGAAGACTCCCAGGAATGGGGTACATAAAGTCTGAACCAGCTATCTTCTGTAACTAGGCAAGGCTTCCAATGGAGGGATAAAGACAACAACCTAACCTCAGAACCCCTGACCTACAATCAGTCCTGCCTGCGAGATGTGTTGGGATAATGGTGGCACAGAACTTCTGGGAGTGGCCAACCAATGACTGGTCCAGCTTGAGGCCCAAGCTACTAGAGGGAGCCCATGCCTGGCAAAAATAAATAAATAAATAAATAAATAAATAAATAAATAAATAAATAAATAAATAAAAAGGCAACTGACAAAGCAGATTCAGAGACTCATAGCCAAACATTAGGTGGATCTTGGGGTACCCCAAGGAATAGGCTGTAGAAAGACAGTAGAAGCCAGAGGGTTCAAGGATACCACAAGAACATGGCCCACAGAATCACCTAAGCAGGGTTCATAGGGGCTCACAGAGACTGAAGCAGCAATCACAGAGCCTGCATGGGACTGTGCTAAGTTGTCAACATATGTTATGGTTGTGTAGCTTGGTGTTCCTGTGGGACTCCTCACAGTGGGAGTTGGGTATCTCTAACTTATTTGCCTGCTCTTAGGACCCTTTTCCTCCTACTGGTTTGTCTT